AACATTTAGGTCATTTTATATCTTGAACTATGCTGTAATGAACATGATATTGCTAATAATCTCTTTGAGGTCTTGGTTTCAAATCTTTTAGAAAAGTATGAGGAAGTGGGATTCGATAATATGATAGGTCTATTTTAATTTTTTGAGGAATCATCATACTGTTTTCCATAGCAGCTATGCCATTTTGCATTTATACCTATTACATTTAGTACAGTTTGGCTTTAGCACAATACATGATGCATGCAGCTGTTCCATTAAAAAATGATAATAATAATAATAAAATAACTCCTAGTATTTTTGTATACACTAAACTTAAGCCTTAACATTTTACATTTTTTTATTTACCTTGTTTTCAAAATATCATTTGATTGGATAAGAAAATGTTTTACTTATTTTTATTATATTTTATTTTGAAAAAAAGATTCTACATGAAAAACAAGCTTAGTTCTCATACATTTTGAGTTTGATCTGAAAAAAATCAGATGCTATAAGGAGCCAAATTCAGAAACATGTTTTCCTCTCACCTTCTTATAATTACTTAAGGCAAAGGATTTTGCAAAGATTGAACATCTTAAAATTCAGTGAAGATCTTGTAAAAACCCTGACAATGCAAATTGCAGTACTAGTTGGGACTTTTCAAGTGATGAAGTACTCTACTATGTCACATATGCATTTTTTGCCAAGACTTATTTTTATGTCTCTATCTTTGCAGTGCATTATTATAAGCTTTTGTTCCTAATAACTTTCAGGAAGCTAATGATAAAGCTTGTTATTGAGTATGTACACAATAAAACAATTCTAAATTTTAAAAAAATAAAGAGATAAGATGAAATCATGAATGACCTTGGTACAGAGGTTTGTCCGTACTCCAGAACATGAAGTCAGGTTAGCTAGTTCACTTTCCCTTTCTGTCTTTGTTTCTTTGCCTACTGGTTGAAAGAAATGGGAGGGTCACTTACTCAAATACTATGGGCCAAACACAGCGTAAATGACAGAGGAGAGCCTGATGGAACATAATGGCAGTGGGAGTGGTATATGGAGAACCAGTAAGGCTGTATGCTTCTTAACAAGGTCCACTGCTATTTAGCTGCTGGGACCAATATCATAAATTTTTAAATTTGTCCAAAAGAAGAACATCAATTCTGATTTTGGGTAAAATATCCATTTTTGTTTGTTTGTTTGTTTGTTTTTCTCTACTAAAATGTAAATTCTACTGTAGCATTATTTTAAAAAGAAAAAACAGTTCAAGGTGTTATAACAAGAGCAATAACTCTTCTCATTTGTAAATCTTATGGAAGTTGATGTCAGAAAACATTGTTAAGGGATTGGGAAGTGACAATGATAATTTTTATTAATGTATGTTAATTTTTAAATTTTTTTCCTCTCAATATTATAAAATAAGTATTTTATATTGAAATATAATTGATTTATAATATTGTATCAGTTTCCTGTATACAGCAAAGGGATTCAGTTATGTGTGTGCCAGATTTTTTTGACCCCATGGACTGTAGCCCACCAGGCTCCTCTGTCCATGGAATTTGCCAGGCAAATTGCCACTCCTTTCTCCTGGAGGTCTTCCTGACTCAGGTCTTGAACCCTGCTCTCCTGCATTGCAGGCGGATTAGCCACCTGAGCTACCAGGGAAGCCCTCATTATTTTATGTTGTTTATTTCACTTTAATGTTGTTTTCATTATAGTTTATTTCAAGATACTTAATATATTTCCCTGTGCTATGCAGTAAGACCTTGTTGTTTATCATAAATATCACAGCTTTTAAACACTGACAACTCAATTTTTTGAATGCTATGTATCACAGCACAACATAATCATCATTCTGTTTTCGCCTTATAAGCTGCCAGTTGCTAACCACCTATGGGTGAAAGAACATCCCGTTATGGTACAAAAATGCATTAATTAGAAGTGTGCTGAGCAGTTAATTTCTCTTTTATGCTTCAGAATGGTGCAAGGATGTCAAAGGATTTTAAGGATATCACTGTGCTAGAGACTGTGGAAAAGCCAGTTAACTGATGCTAGAAACTGCTTGAGAAAATTAGTTACAAAATTTTTTTAATGAGAATTCAGAAATATTTGTTTGCAAATTTGATACCAAAATTCACTTATTTTCATGATTTTCTTTTAATATTGTTCACAGCATTTGTGGTTTCAGGCAAATGTCAATGCAATTTCTATTATATTAGGTATAAGCTGAATGGGCTACAAAATGTTCCATGTTCCATATCCCATATTTTGCTTTTAGTTTAAAAGCTCCTGAGGAAAAAAGGCATTATTACTCAAAGCAACCTCTAGTATTATAATCCAGTGACACGTGGAGAGCCCAATGCACCTGCAAATAATGACAGCTTCTACTAGAGACTTGGCCTACAATCTCTTTGTCAGAAAAAAAAAAAAAACACCTTTTTTATGTAATTATCATCATTTCCATTGATTATGGTGCTTTTCAAAAAATTACACTAAAACAGAGTGCTGCTTATGTGATGAGATCAAATAATGACAAAGGCACACACAGAGTATTTGATCTTAATGACAGACTAAACTTTCCAAATTGTTAGTCATTAAGTTGCCACAAGGTTTTATGTGGCACAGATTTAAAGTTTAAGCATGGAATTTGGATGAAAAAAAATATTTTTGAATGACTAATTTACATCATCACAAAACTGTCAAAAAAATTATATTTTTGTACGTGTATAACTTTTGAGTTTTTAGAAAAATGATTAGCCCTGGAGAATGAAACTATAGGTAACCTTTTATGTCAATCAGGGTGTCCACACCAAAAAGAAGCTGATTCATCTGATGAAATCCAAAACCAATTGAACATGTATTCAAACCATTTCTTAGTGAGACTTTTCTTCTGAAATCAATTTTCACTCTGGAAGCACTGTTCTCCTTTGCGCTAACATTTTCATGAGGATGTATGCTTACATACAGTCTCTGTTTCCTCTTGCTCAGCACTTAACTGAAACATCAATTTGAAAGTGTGTTTTTGTTTTCCTTTTATTAATGGATTACTTTTCTTTTTAATGTTTCCTGCTCTTTCTATTTGAAAATGCACTTTATGTAGATCTTGCGAGCATTGTGCTGTGCCATGCTGTGCTGTCATTTCAGTCGCGTCCCACTCTTGGCCATCCCACAGACTGTAGTTTGCCACATTCCTTGTCCTATGTTCTTGGGATTCTCCAGGCAAGAATCCCAGAGTAGGTTTTAGTTTTCTCCTCCAGAGAATCTTCTTGACCTGGGGATCAAATCTTCATCTCTTATGTCTTCTGCATTGGCAGGCAGATTCTTTATCATTAGCACCACCTGGGAAGACTAGTATTTTGCTTTTCAAAATGTCCAAATTTTTGTCTTTTTCTTTGTTCTTTTGTGTCTCTTAAACTTTATCATGACCACTGTGAAAGTGCTGCACTCAATATGCCAGCAAATTTGGAAAACTCAGCAGTGGCCACAGGACTGGAAAAGGTCAATTTTCATTCCAATCCCTAAGAAAGGCAATGCCAAAGAATGCTCAAACTACCGCACAATTGCACTCATCTCACACGCTAGTAAAGTAATGCTTAAAATTCTCCAAGCCAGGCTTCAGCAATACGTGAACCATGAACTTCCAAATGTTCAAGCTGGTTTTAGAAAAGGCAGAGGAACCAGAGATCAAATTGCTACTGATCATCCAAACATCCACTGGATCGTCAAAAAAGCAAGAGCCCCAGAAATATATCTATTTCTGCTTTATTGACTATGCCAAAACCTTTGACTGTGTGGATCACAGTAAACTGGAAAATTCTTAAAGAGATGGGCGTACCAGACCACCTGACCTGCCTCTTGAGAAACCTATATGCAGGTCAAGAAGCAACAGTTAGAACTGGACATGGAACAACAGACTGCTTCCAAATAGGGAAAGGAGTATGTCAAAGTTGTATATTGTCACCCTGCTTGTTTAACTTATATGCAGAGTACATCATGAGAAATGCTGGGCTGGAGGAAGCACAAGCTGGAATCAATATTGCCAGGAGGAACATCAATAACCTCAGATATGCAGATGACACCACCCTTATAGCAGAAAGTGGAGAGGAACTAAAGAGCCTCTTGATGAAAATGAAAGAGGAGAGTAAAAAAGTTGGCTTAAAGCTCAACATTCAGAAAACTAAAATCATGGCATCCAGCCCCATCACTTCACGGCAAATAGATGGGGAAACAGTGGAAACAGTGGCTGACTTTATTTTGGGGGGCTCCAAAATCACTGCAGATGGTGATTGCAGCCATGAAATTAAAAGACGCTTACTCCTTGGAAGGAAAGTTATGACCAACCTAGACAGCATATTAAAAAGCAGAGACATTACTTTGCCAACAAAGGTCTGTCTAGTCAAGGCTATGGTTTTTCCAGTGGCCATGTATGGATGTGAGAGTGGGACTGTGAAGAAGGCTGAGCACCGAAAAATTGATGCTTTTAAACTATGGTGTTGGAGAAGACTCTTGAGAGATCCTTGGATTGCAAGGAGATCCAACCAGTCCATCCTAAAGGAGATAAGTCCTGGGTGTTCATTGGAAGGACTGATGCTGAAGCTGAAACTCCAATACTTTGGCCACCTGATTCAAAGAGTTGACTCATTGGAAAAGACCCTGATGCTGGGAGGGATTGGGGGCAGGAGGAGAAGGGGATGACAGAGGATAAGATGGCTGGATGGCATCACTGACTCGATGGGCATGAGTCTGAGTAAACTCCAGGAGTTGGTGATGGACAGGAAGGCATGATGTGCTGCAGTTCATGGGGTCGCAAAGAGTCGGACACGACTGAGAGACTGAACTGAACTGAACATGACCACTGCACTAACTTATGTACATACTTCTTTGAAACTCTTCCTTTAAACCAAACAGAAACACATAAAGATAGAGGGGAGAAAGAGGGATTCTTGAGTCTATTTTTATTTTGATTTCAGCAGCAATATTTTCAGTTGTTTATATGTTGTTCTTGTCTTCAGAATGCTTCTTCATCCTAGTGAAAATGAAAGTGAAAGTGTTAGTCGCTCAGTCACGTCTGACTCTTTGCGACCCCATGGACTGTAGCCCACCAGGCTCCTCTGTCCATGGAATTCTCCAGCAGGAATACTGGAGTGGGTAGTCATGGCCTTCTCCAGGGAATCTTCCTGGTCCAGGGATCAAACCCGGATCTCCTGCATTGCAAGTGGATTCTTTAACATCTGAGCCACCAGGGAAGCCCAGTAGTTTCTTTTTAGTTTTAGGAATATGCTATCTTATCTAGTCTTTGTGAGAATGCTAATTGGAAATTTTTAAATGCATTTTTGTATTTTCATATAGCAAATTCTCTCTGTAGTTTATACAGTTCCATGTATTCTGAAGTAGAACAGAGCTTTATATTTACAACTATAATCATGACACAACACAAAACAGTTTTCTCAGCCCTCCGAAATCACCTTTTGCTGTCCTCCTATACCCAAGCCCTGGCAACCATGGATATATTACCTGTTCCTATAGTTCTGTCTCTTCTAGATTATAATGTAAGTGGAAGCATGTGGTATTTCACTCTTTGAGTCTGATCTCTTCCCTTAGCTAAGTTTTATCTGTATTACTGTATGTATTGTAGTTTATCTAGTCATAATATTGATGGAAAAGTTTTCTTCTCTTACCAAAAGCATGTTTGATCTTCTTGAGATCAGTTGTTCTTTCTGTTACTTTTGGCTTTTCTTTGTGTGAAAGTAGGTTCCATAAATGTCTGCATGTTCAGTTGTGTCCAACTACAAGTACTGTAGCCCACCAGGGGATTTCCCATGGATTTCCCAGGCAAGCATATTGGAGCAGGTTACCATTTCCTTCTCGAAGGGATTGTCCCAACCCAGGAATTGAACCCACATCTCTTGGCTCTCCTGCATTTGCAGGCAGATTTTTTACCACTGCAATGTCTGGTGGCCCTTAACTGCTATTTATTTATTTATTTGTATAAATGGAGAGCCATGTTGTTAATAGAAGTCACTGGCACCCGCTTTTCTGTCTTGGGTAGGTCTTTTTTCACTCCTGCTTTTGCCAGGAACAGAGGAACGGAAGGCCTGAGTGGAACACTGGGGCTGGTGATGGCCAGGCCTTTTGGCGGGTGAATTGGGCATGCACATATTGGGTGTAGTGAGGTAGGTAGTTTCACACCCATTCTAGTGCCAAAGTAAGGACTTAGGTGAGGTACCAATAAAAGTGAAAGTGAAGTCGCTCAGTGTCCGACTCTTTGCAACCCCATGGACTGTAGCCTACCAGTCTCCTCTATTCATGGGATTTTCCAAGCAAGAGTACTAGAGTGGATTGCCATTTCCTTCTCCTGGGGATCTTCCACACCCAGGGATCAAACCCTTGTCTCTTTCATTGTAGGCAGACGCTTTACCCTCTGAGCCACCAGGGAAGCCCAATACTTACACTCAAAACTTTGGTCTCCCTTGACAAATTAGCCAGTTTCTATAGAGCAGAGTTGGTTCCCTTTAACTAGGAGCGAAGCCCACTCCTTTCGCTCTCTCTCTGGTAGTAGAGAGTGTGTGTGTGTGTGTGTGTGTGTGTGTGTATGTGTGTGTGTGTGTGTGTGTTGGAATGGGGTGCAGTGAGGAAGATGAATATTAGGTGGCCTCAGCCCTGTGGTTATAGAAAAACAAAGTCTGTCCATTTCAAGCTTGATGTCTCTTCACCGTTCTGCTGAAAAAGGGCATCCTCTAGTTCAGTCCCTTGGGTCGCAAAGTCAGACACGAAGGAGCAACTAAACTGAACTAGTTCGGTAGCAATATTGCCCTCTGGTTTATCCAGAAACATGAACCAATTGGTTTCTGTTCCCCAAATTCCTCATAATTTCTGAAATACTCCTGATCTGCTTCTGTCCTCAGTGCTACTATGAACCAACTCATCTCTTCATGTTTATCAAGCCTTCAGTGGGATTTGGGGAGGGGGAGGAGGTAAAACGTACGCACTCTCAGCCATCCAGAAGCATTACCCTACAGACAGTACTGCCGTGGTGGGAGTGGTCGATCTCATGCAAAGACTGTATGATCCTGCACTGGGAGTCTTTCGAGCTAACATTGATAAAAGAGAATATATAAGAAAATCTATTTATATTCCAAAAAGTCAATGAACCCTTACATTTCTCAGTAAAGCATAATTTTCAAAATTTACTTCACTATCCTATAGTGCTTTTGCATTTAGTATACACCTCAACTTTAACTCAATCTCATGGCTTTTATTTTTATTTCCTCACTGGAAAGAGGACTCCTTGGGAATAGTATCTATCCACAAAATCTATGTATCCACATACCTTTGTAGAAAAAAAAAATCGTTATCTGGATGTTACAAGGCAATGTAGAGTTACTGGAACAGCAATAAATATCTAAAATTTTTAGCTATATGAAACTAAATACCTTTAGTATTTATCAATGGGCTTCCCTGATAGCTCAGTTGGTAAAGAACTCGCCTGCAATGCAGGAGACCTTGGTTAGATTCCTGGGTCAGAAAGATCTACTGGAGAAAAGATAGGCAATGATAACAAAAGAATTGCAGTAGTATTATACATGCAAATGTTTTTAGAATGATCTGTTGTCTTTGAATACTTTTGTCTTTGTCTTGCTCTCTATTGACTGTTCCACCTGGTGGGGTTTTCCAGGATGCAATTGTTCTCTGTATATTCCAAGGTCAAAGATTCCCAGGTGGCACAGAGGTGAAGAATCTGTCTGCCAGTGCAGAAGACACAAAAGACACAGATTTAGTCCCTTAGTCAGGAGGATCTTCTGGAGCAGGAAGTGGCAACCCACCCCAGGGTCCCTGTCAGGGAAATCTCAGAACAGAGGAGTCTGGAGGGCTACAGTCCACGGGATCACAGAGAGTCAGACAGGCCTGAGCACCTGAGCACACACGCGCGCACACACACACACACACACCCCAGCACAGAGAGTAACGTTTTAGTTGTGCTTCTGTCACTATTTTCTCTTAGTTCCACACACACACATAGAAGTAAAAAAAATATATGTAATCCTGCATGGAATGTTAAAAAATTATAAATGATGTATGAGATTTAAAAAAAAGTACCCTTGTCTAGAAAACACCACACGCAGAGTACAGATGTTCTAAAACTGCTCTTTGTGAGACTAAGCCCTGACAACTATCTCTTTTAAATAATGGAAGACTTGAAGTTTTTAAAAAGGAAAGCCAAGAAAAAAAAAGAGAGGCACTTTCTAGCTTCTTTAGAAGTTGGCTTTTCCTATCTTCTAGATAAGAATTGCATAACTGTCTCAATGGAAACATTATACATCAGATACACTAATCAATATAGCCCCTCCTACTTTTTCTGATAAAGTGGGAAAAGCCAAAGAGAAACCAATTGCATTTTACTAGGCTGAATAAAAGAAAGTGATCTCTCTCTATAAAAGTATAAGAAGGGAAGAAATAGAAAAGGAGGAAAAGAGAAACATACTATTTAAAACTACTGATGAATACAATCTAGAAGAAAGCATAGATCAAGAAACAGAAGTATAACAGAATCATGAATTTAAAATGCCAGTTTATAGATAAGATAAAACAATAGCATGAAGCTGTATAAACCAAGTGTGTGTATGCATATACATATACATATAGTATATACATGTATATAGTATATATGCATGTATAATATACATGTGTATACACACATATATGTATATACACATATATATCATGTATGTACACACATGCAAGCACACAACAAAATCAGTAGTAAAATTGGTCATTTCTTTTTCTTTTACAGCAAAGGATTAATTAATTATTTAACATTAAAATTCAGCATGTAAAATAAGCACATAACCACAAGTTCTTAAGTTGTTTTATGTTTAGCCTCTTATATATCCTCTCTTGGTTTTCTCAGGTGGCTCAGGGGTAAAGAATCCACCTGCCAATGCAGGAGACTCAGGAGACCCAGGTTCAATCCCTGGGTTGGAAAGATTCCCCGGAAGAGGAAATGGCAACCCACTCCAGTATTCTTGCCTGGGAAATTCCATGGAGAAAGGATTCTGGCAGGCTGCAGTCCATGAGGTTGCAAAGAATCAGACACAACTAAGTGACTGAGCATGCACTGACATACATTCTCTCTTAATCTTAAAAGGAGTCACTCTTCTCCAGCTTTCTTGGTGGCTCAGCTGGCAAAGAATCTGCCTACCATGTGCAAGACCTGGGTTTGATCCCTGGGTTGCGAAGATCCCCTGGAGAAGGGAATGGCTACCCACTCCAGTATTCTGGTCTGGAGAGATCCATGGACTGTATAGTCCATGGGGTCGCAAGGAGCTGGACATGACTGAGCGACTTTCACTGTTTTTCTCCTCCAGCAAAGCTGCTGATTCTCTTTTAAAATAAAGTAAAATTTCTCCTCCTCTGGTCTACATGACAAGACTATGGCTACTACCCCTGAATATGGCATCTTATAGCTTTATCCACACTGGAAGCATTTATCATCTGCTCAGAATTCTCCAGGGAAGAGTTTGGATCATTTGATTACTTCAGTCTCCTTGAACATACACACACAGTTTGTTTTTTTTTTTTTTCTCTCATGACCATATATGCTCAGCAATTGGTTCTCCTGTAGCCACATGGATGGGGGAGGTTAAAGACATCAGACTGGTGAGCCAGCATACAGATTACTCAACTCCTTTGGTCTCTAATACTACCTGAGTTTTCCACTTGTTTCTGCTGAGGATCAGAATGCTTGTTAAATCCATCAAGTCCCTTAATTCCAGGTATTTACAAATAACATGAATAAATACACAAACCCACCTACCTTCTCTTACCCCTTCTTGCCCGGCCTGCTCCTCCCTGCCCTGTTCCTGTGCCTCAGGCTGCTACTCCCCACACTCTACCATTTTTTCACCTTGTTCTTCAGACTCCATCTGCATTGTAACCTACACCTTGGAGCCCAGGCCTCTGCACTTGGTTTTCTCTGAGCACAGCTGATGTAATTTAATGTTGACTCCCAGCCTCAGCACACTAACC